AGATTTGATTGGAGGAGGTCCTGAACATGATGTAATGAATCAATGAGGAACGTATGATGAAAGATAGTAGAGAAAGATGTACTAGAAGAGGCCTTATGTCATTACAAAGTATAATTTTTGGCTCCCGATATGATGATGAGTGTTATATAAAAAAAAAAAAACGTAGCGGATTGTCCTTCATTTCATCTTAAATATCGCATAAAATTTTAAAAATGAACCAAACACCTGTCAACATTCAGCCTAGACCTCAACAAACTGAGGAACTGGAAACAACTCCACGTCTGTCTGCAGCTACCCCTACACCCTAGGGAAGCTCCACGACTAATAGTCGTCCTGGAGTTACAGACAAGATCCCGAATGCAAAGAGCTGGATCAATGACTTCGATAGTAATGGCAAGTGCTCAAAAGATATTGTGGTTGAATGGATGCTAGTAGGATATAATTGGAGTAAATTCAGCGGATGTGAAAGTCAAAAACCAGGTGAAGCCGAAAGCCAAAAAGGTATGGCGAAAAAGCTGGCCCAAATCCTTGTCAACAGAGGACATCGTGAAAGAACCACAAAAAGTATCATAGAGACGATTAGATATTTGAAAAAATCGTTTACCGCTACTTACAAGACGGTAACCGCTACTGGATATGGTGTTGATCCTGCTGTTGATGGTAACGTCACTGTTGAAGGTAAGAAGAAAACTACTAACTGCTAACTATTATACCGTTAAATTTGTTTAACTTACTATATCTAAACTTTTAGAGAAAACCACTCATTTGTTTAAGTGGTATTATGATCTTCTCCCTTTACTTGGCTCGGATCCACTTGTAACTGGTGAAGGAATACAGTCGAATGGGAATATCGTCAGTGGGACTCCTGATTTAAGTGCGTATGATGAACAGCCTGATCATGAAGACGATGTTCATTCAACCAACATGGATGATGTTGATGATGTCAACTTGGATGATGATGATGATGATGATGATGATGATGATGTTTTGCCCCTCTCTTCCACTAGACCACCTTCGCCTAGACAAAGTAGAGGAAAAAAGAGGAGTCTCAATGAGTGTATTACCGACTTCTTTGAGAGACAAAGAAAAGCATCTAAGAAGTATGAAGATCGCGAGGACGAGCTATTGGAGTTTCAAAGAGAAAAGAGGGATGACGAGAGAGTAGCAATGATATTCGAGAGACAAAAGCAATGGCTGCTTTTGAATAAAGAACTTCGAAACGAAGAAAAAGGATCCGAAGGATATGAAACCATAAAGAAGTTTATGGAAGACCTTGCAGATTATTAACCTATTTTTTTTTTAAATAAATGTTTATTAATTTTGAGCGTTGTTATACAATATATCATTCTTCAACTGATTTCTTCTGAAATTTAAACTACTATCATCATCTGACCTATTCTGCGAACTACTGATGAATCTTCTATGTCCACTGGCCTCTCTGAACTCCTCTATGTCAGTTGAATCTTCTAAAAGGAAATTATGCATAATGCAACAAGCACGAATCCATCTTCCCGCTTCGATCAAAGTTTTCCTGTCACGAATTGTAATACGAAGCTCTTGAAGGCTTTGGAACTTTCCTTTCAGAATTCCATTGCAATGTTCAATTGCGATACGAGTTTGAGCTACATACAAATTAAATTTCTCTATTTCTTCTTTTGTAGCCTGTACTGAACCGGTTCTGTATGATGAGATGACAGTCGAGGTAACACTGTATGCACTATCAGCTAATATATATTCACCAGGGGAGAAATGTCTATGTGGGGATTTGGCCAGACTTGTTGCTTGATAAACATTATTATCATGAATAGCACCAGGACATCCAGTGACACAAACACGAATTCTTCGTTTGTGATCACAAACGAGCATTGTAGAGATACCATACGCACGTTTATAAGAATAAAAATTATTCTTGGCATAGCTGGGACTACGCTCGGTTATTATAAATGTACCATCGACAAATCCGACGCATGACTTGAAGTGGCTTCTTTCGCCTATCTTCTTTGATATATGTTCCCTTTCTTCTGCCGCTGGCCAGTAAACATACTGATCTTCTTTAGCCAGAATTGCAATTATGGTTCTCTTGTTGTAATTGATCACAGTACCTTCTACTTTTAATGTTAGATCATAATAAATCTGAGCGTTTTTTTTGTCATACCAGAAACACCAAAGTAATCGGATACCGGCGTGATTGAAGCAGCATTTCCTTTACATCCCAATCGATGAAAAGTGATCAAGAAATGGAGCTCAATTTTCTCTTTCGTGATGTTCTCGAACTCCTCATAATCACCAAACGCTCTGACTGCGTCTTTGAAGGCTTCTTTACTCATCCTTATTTTACTTTTAAAGACACTTTCTCTACCTTCGTTTAATAAATCGAGATATGTGCCAGTAAGAATACGAGTACCCCAGTTTTTTTTACGCTGTATCTTTCGGTTTGTAAAGCAAGGTAAAAAGCTGCCATTGTTTCCAGATTCTGTTTTGTCATTGCGATTATGCGACGATCTACTTCGGTCGACTTGGTTTCTCGTTCATATTTTGTAATGAAGAAAAACAGCATTTTTTTAACGTCTTCCATGAGACGTTTTTTAGTTGACAAGAGAGGCATAATAATAATAAAAGTGTTGTTGAAGTGGAAAAGACTAAAGTAATAAATTATGTCATGCTTGATAGCCTTACATCATGTAACGAAATACCAAAATGTTATTGGACGAAAAAAAAGCTGGAATTAATTTTTATTTTGCTGGAGCACTTTTTGCTCCAGCAAATTTAAGAAATCACAAAAAGAAATCGGAAAATGCTTGGCCAATAGAATTTATCTAAAATTTGCTGGAAGCTGGAACCTGGAGGCTCGATTTTATTTGAGCGTCCCTATTGATGCTGATGGACCTTATACATTTGTGCAATCAAAAAATAAATTATATAAGAAAGAAGCAGGATTTAAATGAAAACGTTTTTATTTTATTCAATGTTTATTTTGTATTTTACTTTAAAAATAATTTATGTACATATCAGCTCCAGTTTGAAAAGGCACACTTACATTCATAATATTCTTTGCCACTTACTATTGACGGGCCCAGTTGATATAACACTAACCAAACATCCACCAATGTATACAGATAACATTCGCGAGCCCTCGAGAGATGTAGCAGCATATAGACATAAACAGTTTTATCAGCCTAAACGAAAAAAAAATTGCGGCCTAAAAATATTTTATAGCCTAAAAGCAAAATTTTACAGCCTAAAAAAATTTTTTACAGCCTAAAAAAAGTTTTTTACGGCGCTAGAGAAGAATTTTATATCAAAAAAACATTAACTACCTCAATCCGCCGTTATAGCCTAGAGACTAATCTATACAATCTATTATTATATAATTTATTTGAGAAGACGTATTGGATATTCAGATGACTATTACCTTCTGCATATGGCGGATATGTACACATAAATCTTAGGCAATTTAAAATATACAAAAATAATAAATATTGGTGTTTTGTACGCTACATTTATTTACGGTATATATTTTAGTATTGTCTACTACTTCATGAAGGACAGTACTTACAAAATAAAAAAAGTTTGGCTACAAAAACAAAAGATTACAAACAGGAAAGAAAGGCACAAAAATTGTCATCCGCAAGTTTTTTAATTTATATGGAATTATTAAAAGTGCGAATTAGCCTAAAAGATTCTTTAATTATTGACAACCCTTCTTTTGCGACCACGTCTGGCTAATGGAGTATCTTTTTCCAAAGACACATCATCATTTTCTCTACCAGACTGCTCTTCATTGGGTATAGAGAAACTCTCTGGTTGCTCTAGTCCGAGACCAGGACGGATGATCTCTTCATCATCGGACAAAGAGCTTGACTTCTTTTTCGACACTCTCTGCAAAACAAAAATTACATTAGTTGCTTAACAATAAACGAACTTCTTTTTTTTATAATGTACGTACCTTATCTCCCAATGTGTTGTGAGCAAAACTAGCCAGCAGTCTTTCAGCTCCCCTGTGATCCAAGGATTGAGCCAAACCTAACTTACCTCTTCTGGCCAGCGCTTCCAAAGCAAGGATATACTTCATCTGGAGCTCACGGGAATGCATACCCCATGTCTTTATGCTAAGAACTGGGTCTGACTGGACCTCTGCCTTCAATTGTGTGATGCATGATTTAGTATAATCTCTCAATACACCATACAAGGATTTCAATTCCACGTTCTTCATTTCAATTTCTTCTTGACTTTCCTCAGGTGTATGACATAAATTAGGTCGAACACACAACAAGAACTCCCAGAGTGCCTCTCTGTCACTAATCCTATTAGGATTACCCTTTTCGGTTGCAATACTAGTGTCAGGCTTTTTACCTCCAGGAAAACGAGCGATACTTCTGACAGCCCATTGCTCGGTCATCTGATCGACTGTTATAAAAAGGCAAAGTCTACACATACGTCTAAAAAAAAAAAGTTTACGTCGATTCACGTGACTGTCCCAAAATATTACTTAATATACTCTTCATACGTCTGTTTTTTTATGTACGTCTGTTTTTTTTATGTCTGATTTTTTTACGTCTGTTTTTTTTACGTCTGTTTTTTTATGTACGTCTGTTTTTTTATGTCTGATTTTTTTACGTCTGCTTTTACGTCTGTTTGAATTTCCAGTTAGTCTATTCTTTTTACATGTCTATTTTTTCTTACATGTCTATTCTTTTTGCATGTCTATTCTTTTTACATGTCTATTCTTTTTACATCTCTATTCTTTTTACATGTCTATTCTTTTCACATCTCTAAAAAAACTTTATACGTCTGTTTAAATTGTCAGTACGTCTATTTTTTTTTGTAAGTCCATGTTTTTTATACGTCTGTTTTTATACTTCTATTTTTTTCATACGTCTGTACTTTTGAACGACTGCGTATTTGAATTTCATACGTCTAATTTTCCTATAACTATAAACATACTTATTTTCTATGTGTTGCTTTTCAGGTCTAGTTTTTATTTATATTATATTTTTTATCTAATCTTCTTCAAAATCGGCTGTGAAGTCGAAAGGGTTTAAAAGTGAACCAATTTCATAAGTTTCAATCATAATTTTGGCAGCATCTTCGAGTGACACACCTTGATCTTCAGCGATTATTCGACAAGCGATTTCGGGATTGACAATAATTGTAAGAAATTCGTGGTGTCTGAAAGAGGTTGATTTCTTGACTTCAGAATTTTTGTACTCATCCTGGTTAAATCGACGAAGTGCCGCATGACCAATGACCTCAAAGCCTTTCGGGCCATAATACCCAGGCTAATGATACATACAATATAAGTGATATGTCAAATTTGACGCTAATCTTATTTCTTACCATGATCTGTTTTTTGTTTTGTTCAAAGTGGACAAAGTGTTTAAGCTTGGCTTGCGTTCCGGAGTTATCTTGACCAGCTTTAGATTTAAATATACTTTTGATTTCCCCCGAAACTAGTTTCTGGACAATTCCACTATTGACCAACTCGAAGGCGCGACGTTTAAGTGATTCAAAATCAACACTTAGACAGTTGTACTTGGTAATTGTTGGCAGAAATTCCTGGATTTTATGGGACTTGCAGAATTCATCTAATCTTGGGTTAAGCTTATTGTTTAATTTGTGCCATTCACCTTTAAGTTTTTTGTATTTTCTTTCGTAGCGGTTGTTTTCCGCATTTACTTTTTTTTTATCAAGCTCCTTTGTTAAGATGTCGATTTCAGTGTATTCTTTGAACATAGACGTATCCTGGTCACCGTCTTGGAAAATGTGCTTTTGGCACTTGAAGCAGGAAAGCGTTGTGATTGCAGGCGTAGCTAGGTTACGCATTTTTTCCAAGGTTTTCAAAATAAAGGGTGACTGTGGAGGAAGAGGGGGCAAGACTACACGTTTGGGCTTGCATAGAATCGTATCGGAAACAAGTCGAGCAGTTGTTTTTAATGGTGCTGTTTTTGCGGTTGCTGCTATTTTTTTTAAATTGATTTTAATTATTATTTTTTCTTGTTCTTGTTGGGTTTTTTGATTTTCGTGTTGTTTTTGGTTTATTTGAATTTTTTCTTGTTTTTGGTTTAATTGAATTTTTTCTTGTTTTTGGCTTATTTCGTTTTTATCTTGTTTTTGGTTTATTTGAATTTTTTCTTGTTTTTGGCTTATTTGGTTTTTGTGGGTGTTTTGTTGTATTTCATTTTTTGTAAGGTCTATATGTTCTTTTTTTGGGTTGTTTGATTCAATCAAAGTGGAGTTTGTTGTTTCTTGAGAGTGTAATGTTTTGTATAGAGCGATTCTAGAGTTGACATATAAATTCCAATAGTTGGAATCTATAGCTTTTCTATATTCTAAGTTATTAGATAGTGGAGGAAGAGGACAGTCGGGATACATTTGAAGTGACATGTAATGGTTTCCATAGAATAAAGAACTGATGGGTCGATTTGAGTTTATGGGACAATCCGGCAAGAAGGTACAAATATTTTTGCTCTTCTGTGAATAGAAATAAACAGGGCGTTGGTACAAATCCGCAATCAGATAACCTGACATGTTTTTGGAAGAATTAGCATTTTTTCAATATATAATTAAATTTAAACATATAGTTACCTGTGGAGTTCATGATCATCCAATTGCTGATTTCACAACCACCTCTATACGATAAGTGAATACGTTTTAATAATTCTTCATACTCCATGAAACAATCAGCAAAAATGTACGAAAGGTAGTGCTTTTTGTTGCTGATTAGATGATTATACAGAGATTTTCTAACATACATGTAGAAATCTTCATCTCTTTCATAGTTATCATTGACTTCAACACCAACAGAAATTGCTGTTCTTAGAACAACTTCTTTTCCAACTGATGCAGCTATGGTTCGGAAGCCGCAGTTTCCATCTCCATCAACATCTGTCACCAAAGCAACATGACCGATCATGAACTTGGGCATACAAGCTTGAAGGACATGATGGTGGGGCTTGGTAACTTCTTTGCCCTGGAGACTGGCGCCCTTTTCCAGCATTTGACTTGTCAAAACGGGTTTTGGCAAAGCCTTCTTTTGTTGCAGCTTTTTAATTTTCGCTTCTTTGTGGACATCGACATCCACTGCTTCGCCTTGAGACAGCATCCGTCCTGATTTGGCCACTTTTTCTAATAATAATAATACTACTATCAGTAACAAATCAACATCGATAGCATTATATATAGCACTACTTACGACTGGATGGCAAGTTTGAGTCCTTCGTTTTTTTTTGAGGAGGCTGGATAATCTCAATGTCTTGAAGCTTGACCAAGTCCGACGTCAAATTACGAATTAAATCAAGCTTCTCGTCCTTGACATGCTTGAATTTAATTGAATCTAATGCCGTCTTTAATTTGAAGATAGTTATCTCCGTCTCGGTTGCATCTGCATACATGTCTGGAGTGCAATAAAAAAAATAACTTAGGGACTTTCATTTTTTTTTTAAAAAAAAAGAAGTTGCTTATCATTACCTGTACTTTCGGTTGCGGCTGTGGGTGCGATTTGTTTATCAGCATTCCCCTTATTGATATGCCATCTTATGTCAACCGAAGAAAGCAAAACAAAAATGTCTGATCTGGCTTGTGTATTTGATACATTGCCACTGCCACCTTCTATAATTTTTTTGTATTCTTCGTCAAAAATCGTGTGTCTGCACGGAAGTTTCATGGTACTTTTGAAGACACCAGTGCATGGCCTTAAGTTATTCTTCTTCATCTCATCGTAAAAAAGATTTACTTGCTCCCTTATCTTTTTAATGGCGTAAGCGCTGACAACCTTGAGGATTTTTGCGTACATTGGATTTCCAATCAATGATGGATCACACGAAATCTTCGAAAAGCATTTGTCCATGTTGCTTTTGACCTTTTGGTTTTTGAGAACCATATCAAGCTGCACAAATGTCTTAGGCATAGTGCACTTAACAATAGCCCTATTGTTTCCTTTAAGTGCACTATGTGCAGCTTCCGCAGGACTGGTTGTATAATTGCCCATATGAGGAAACTTATCGGTGTATTGTCTTATCCAGTAAGCTCTTTGCTTAAACAATTCATCGACAAATTCATTGATTTTTTCGGGCTTTCTTGAAACCAATGCATGTTTTTTGATATTCTCAACAGCAGAAAGTACTTCTTCGTCACTCTTTCACCTATGCAAATCCCAGAAAAGACGTTCCAATTCTTTGAAATCTTCGGATTTTTCGAACAATTTAAAAAAATTGGCCTTAACATTTTGGGCTATAATGTGCCAAACACAAATCATTTTTGCAACATCTGGAAAAATCAAATCGAGACTTCCACGAACACTAGCAGCTCTATCGGTAATAATGACTTCAGGCATAACGTTGGCTTTATTGTAAATCTGTACAAATGTAACGTGATGTTGTAATAAGAGAAAAATATTAGCTAAATGTGATTGCAATAAGACATTTCAGTCACATTACCTTGTTTTTCAACGTATCAAAAAACCAAGTGTACGTTTCCTTTGTTTCATCGGCTACCCATGCCAGAGCAATAGAAAAATTCATCAAACCGGAGCTGGCTTCGTTGCTAACATTATCCACACCAATTGCGTTGATCAATGGATAACCAAATACGTTCGTTGTGTATGTGGCGTTAACAATGAGAACTTCCGGACATTGGACAATGTTGGCGATTGTTTTTTCATGGGAAAAAAAAAGATGGGTAAGTCTTCCATCGTTGTTATACTGACTTGAGAGAGTATAACCTCTAGCTTCCATCTCCTTAATAAAAGGATTTAAACTCTCCTGATTACAACCCTCGATTAAAGCTCTTCTTATTCTTGATCTGACATTGGTTACATCCTTTGCTATGGCATAAGTACCGGAAACAGATGCACTGTTGATAGCCGCAACAATAGACGAGGTCTTGACATTAGCCAAATGCAATTCTTCAATCTTACTTTGTTGGTTAAGATCTAAGCTTCTGTTTTTTAACAAACAAAGTCGATCATCACCTTCAAGCATGTCATGGTTGTGACTATCCACAATAGAACCGATGACCCAACAATTGATATTTTTATTGAATGAGGCCCTAACAGAAAAAAGACAGGTACCGGATTTTGAAAATTTGACCCTTTTTCGAGATCCTTCGGAAACTTGATTTCTGTACTTGTCACGGAACACGCAAGCTAAATGATAGAAAGGGTTTTTACCCTTGCGTCCAACAGGTGCACTATCACGAGTATGCAATTCAAATCCCTGGTATGCAGCAGCAGAAAAACAAACCTCTAAAAATTCTTCAGCGGATGCAAATCTATCCCCAATAGCAGGAAATTGCTCGAATCTATTAATCGACATTTTCAGAGACTTTTATTTCTTTATGATGAGTTAGAAAGTTCATCAATAATTTTTATTTGGAGGTCCTTTTATACGAATTATAACTTTGATTTTATTTCTACTCAGTTCGAATTAATGTTTGACAAGAGTTGCTAATATCTTCGGAACACAAATTCATTACAAGATAAAAAAGAGTGTTTTACTTACTGTATGTAATAAATGTTATTCGTTTTATGTTCGGAATCTGCGTATACACATAGCCGCTCGCAACCCATTAACCATAGTTAAGGATTAGAATTTCTGATAATCAAAGACGTGCCATAAGTTACTCCAGTTACACAGTCCCTTAGATTAAATGTAAGATATAATCGCAGTAAGTGCTGTGTTATACTGACGTTCTGTCATTTGACAATATGAATAATATTGACAAAGGTGTCATAACATCACTCAATTTATAAAGATGCTGCAAGTTGAGTTGTAATTATATTTGGTTGTAAATGTAATAAATACAACAAAAAGGATGAAGAAAATACATCTAGGAGATAGATTCTTCTAAGTTGATTGTAAACGGTTTGGAAAATCGTATTACTAAAGAACAGGACTTAAAAAACAGACGTACAAAAAAAAACAGACGTACAAAAAAAAAACAGACGTACAAAAAAAAACAGACGTACAGAAAAAAACAGACGTACAAAAAAAAACAGACGTACAAAAAAAACAGACGTATAAAAAACAGGCGTACAAAAAATAGACGTAAAAAAAAAATAGACGTACTGATTTAAACAGACATGTAAGAAGAATAGACATGTAAAAAGAATAGACTAATTGGAAATTCAAACAGACGTAAAAGCAGACGTAAAAATAACAGACATAAAAAAAACAGACATAAAAAAAACAGACGTAAAAAAAACAGACGTAAAAATATCAGACATAAAAAAAACAGACGTACATAAAAAAACAGACGTATGAAGAGTATATTAAGTAATATTTTGGGACAGTCACGTGAATCGACGTAAACGTTTTTTTTTTAGACGTATGTGTAGACTTTGCCTATAAAAACGTGTTAGTTGTATGTCAAAGTATACCAATGCCATGTTATGATTACCTCTTCTCGGTGTCATGTCAGTCACGCTCCCTCCAATTAACCGTTCTTCCATGGCGTCAAGACGATCGTTTACCTGGGAGTGGTTGGATCGGATTTCGGTTTGCAAATCAAATACTAGCTTTTGAAGTTCGATGATGGTACGAACCATGTCGTTTGTGTTATATGCGGGCATTTTCAAATTATTTTATGATGTAGATTGATAAAAACAGCTTTGTCAGAAAAAACGTGCTATATATGTATTCTCCATATTCTTGTACGTCATGGTTTTTACATCATATCCATGATATAATCCATGCCACTATATAAAAAAAATTAGCACTAGTTGCAATACGTAATGACAGCTGTCTTGGATTCAAAATTGGATCTAGTAGTTAATGCAACTGCGTTAAATACTCTATGTTGGGATTAGATTACGGCATCTTTCTTTAACGCTTCCCTCGATTTATTTCCATGATTTTATCACGTAACTTTACATGCAGCTATTGCGACAGTCTTTTTGAAAACCATGCTCGAATGGTCGAGCATCAACGAAGAGTAAAATGCCATTTCTTTGCAGTAAGAAGTGGAATGAACAATATCAATACCAATATACAAGATGATGCTGAAGAAGAGCTTACGTCCGTCCAAAATCTTGATGAGCAGTATGCGGACGATGATACTGTAATGGAAGAAGCTGCAGTTAATAATAATTAAAATCATACTAACAAATTTCTAACTTACAATGTATTGCTACAATAACTAGCACGCGATGATGCTTTCATGTTCGAAGATGCGATCAGATACAAGCACTTTGACCACGATTACAACTGGAACATAATCCAAAAGTTTGGCATAGGCTTAATTAAGCTTCTTGACCATAACGGTGATTCAAGATAGGTCCAGCGTGATGTCGTAAAGCATGTCAATGGAAACCTTCTTTCCTACATTGATTCTGTTGCTGTCTCAGCTAAATTAAATATTGACTCACAGACTTCCTTTCATACTAATTGCAATTTAGACTTGGGCGGGTTACTTCCTTCTCCAGAGGCTATTCATAGATTACTTGATAAAGGCAGCATTGCCTCTGTGAAAATGTATGATGTGTGTCGCGAAGGATGTTTTCTTTTTGATGATAACGTGCAGCAATCACATTGTATCAACCCTGCTTGTGGTGAAGGACGATACAAAAACCAAATTGAAGCTGAGGAATCAATCCGTGCTGGCGACATTTCACCTCCAAAAGCCTTTCAAACCATGGCTATGTCTTCTGTCGGGGCTTCACTTGCGGAACTACTGGTCGACGACAAAATCCGTGAAGACTTCAAGTACGCAAGCCAATTCAGCGAGTATGTTGAAGATGACGTCTACATTGACATGTTTTCCGGTTCGGTGTACAAAGAATTTCTTTGTCAAAATTTGCTCACACGCAAAGACATCTGCCTTGTTCTTTACGTTGATGGGTTTCCCAACAAATCCAAACCAGGAAGCTCTCAAACATTGGTCCATTGCATGGTGATGAACATTCCTGCTTCTAAAAGGTTTAGAAATTAAATTTACTTGTATATGTTATCTTAATCAAACTTACCTTTTCGTTTTTAGAGCAAAGGAGTCGATGGTGATTCCACTGGCTATTTTACCTGGCCCAAAAAAGCCCAAGTATTTGATGAGTTTTTTGACGCCAATCATCGAGGAAATCAATTCGTTGTGTGCAAGAGGAATCGTCGTTGAAACAAACAATAAAATCGTGCACGAAAGTAAAGTATTCTTGCTCGGAATGACTGGTGATATTCCAGGAATTGCTGATTTAATGAATCATCGTGGACACACGAGCAAATATGGCTGCAGAATTTGCAAAATTGCTAGCAGACATCCCGGAGGTTGCCGTTACGGTATGTACTTCTTGGATGCAGGTGACATGAGAACCAAAGACGAATTAGTTTACGGCGATGCGGTAAATTATTCAAAGTGTGCACCAATATTTTTAAGATACTAAACGCAGTATGAATTAGCGATTCGATATACTTGGTGTTGATCCTGTTATTAGCTCTCTTTCCACCTTCACTGGTACATCTTTTTTTCTTGGTGACGAGATGCATTTGATTTGTAGAGGGCTTGGTACTTTGGTGTATAATCTTTTGGATCCCAAGAAAAACAAAACGTTCTGTGAATTCATCACTCAAGATGCACAATATACCTTTGGTTTGAACGCACGTGATGACACTTTCAGCAAAAAGATTGACTAAAAGGTGCAGCAGAGCAGGGTTTACATACCATCAGCTTTTGAGTAAACTTGGGATGTCGGTGTAGGTATCGGAAGAGCCGTCGATTATTTAGACTTTCTCTTGCACATTGTCCCGACCAGTGTACTTCCATTGGTCCAGAACAATGAAACCAAATGTGCGTTGATGGAATTGGTGGAGGGATGTTCCATTGCTTTGCAGTGGCGCATTTCTCGTAGGGACATTACAAAAATGAAAGGGTAACATGACAATCAGAGACTAGATATTAAAAATTTGATATTAACGCAAACATTTAGATGTTTTAGTAGTTGGTATGCGTTTTTGAATCGAGAGATTGTTGCAAGTCGTATCAATGCGCGAGTGTTCACAGCAAATAACCATTATTTGATGCATCTGCCGTATTTGGCTGAACAGATGGGGCCATTAAAATGCTACTCTTGACGACCAATGGAGCGGACAATTAAGAAGTTCACCAACTTGATCAAGTCCACGCATCTTATAGGGGCAAATGCTTCGAACGTCCTTCGTCACCAGGCGAATTATAACACGATGGCGGTTAGATGTCTGCAGTCTATTCAATTCCCTGAATCTACGGATCGTCCAGACACCTACCGTTCGTATACCTCTGGTGCCCAAGGCTGGTGTCCGTTTATTCCTCAGTCTTTGCTTGGATCAGATTCGGAAGAAATATGCTTCGGTGTCCCGAGATCGAAGGTGATTGATGCATTGATATCATATTATGATCATAAGGTTGGGGATGAAATCGAGCAATTGACCTCGTCATCCATTGTGATTGCAAGACGAGCTTGGAACGATGACTTGGTATTTTCTTCGATTATGGACATAACCTTGAAAAACTTAAAGACAAGAGCAAATAATATCGTCCTGTTGTTGCAGCCAATAATAATGTGGCTTGTTGTTACACAGGATAGGATCTTTCCTATAAATACGCTCCCTTTTTTTCAATTCTTAATAAATATTCTTTAGTTTTGTCTTTACCTAAATTTGGGATTTATCTTGTAATTGATACTAGTAGTATTTCCTCCGCTTTTTGTTGCTGTTTGTTGTCTATTGTAAATTATACAATCACATCATCTTCTTACATAAACCCGTCGTAAACTCTTTTATCTTTGACATCTAAGAACTATATTCTCTTCTCATCTCTCACAGTATTATTATCGATTTGCATTTTATTGTCTTATCCATATATTTTATCGTCTAAGATCACTACAGAAATACTCTTAATAAATAATAAAACTAAGTTGACAACTAAAAGTCTGGTGCTCACTATCACAATTGTTATATAATAATAATTGTCCCTTTTTAAATCTAAATCCGTACTAGCGCTATATCACTGTTTAAAGCTCCCAAACGTACTGGTCACAGGTAAGCAAAAGACATTTGACAAACTTTATTGGTACTTACATCATAGAATTTAGATCTATTTCCATTTGGTTTGTCGGTGTGCTTCACTGCTACTTTACACACAAGCAAGAAGGTGAAAATTTTTTTTGGGTATCGTCGAAGTAATGAAGCAGCAGCAATTCGACGCTCACAATGTTGTGACAGTTGCTCGGTATTCCAGGGGTGACAGATACAAGAAGTACGCTGTTATTTCCATTACAGACATTCTCCAAGTGGTTGGTCTTGTACGGTATTCCGATTCCGGTAACTTTTTCAAGGTTGTTTGGCCGTACATTAAATATACTGACAAGGTTAATCATCTTCCTGCTGGTTCTTTAGCTGATTTGTAAGTTGGTCGTATCTTTCTCTGTTTTGCGTAGACACGTTTTATTGTAATTAATCTCTCTTCAACAATTCATCTAATGGAGTGATTACTATTTTATTCAATCTGATGTGCTAATTGGCAATGTGTTATTTGGCAATGCTTGTAAAAGAAAAAAATTTAAAAAATAGGAAAGGAAAAAAAAAATTAAATAAAAAAATTATATTCCGATGGTTGCGTATTTTATCCACCATGTTGCGTCTTTCCGCAACGTGTCGCGGAATTCCACTACCGAGTCCGCGGCTGTGATAGTGTTTACATTTTTTAGTGGATCTTATACTCAACTATGATTCTGATTGAACAATAGTTTTTGGTAAAGTGTACTGGTTTACACAGAAAAACTAAAACAAGTTAAACCATAAATCCTGTGTGTTTTTATTCTAGGTTAAAAAGTTAAAACTAAACTAAAAGAAAAGTATCTCTCTAGAAACTTAACTATCTGTTTTAATTGGAAGATAATAAATATTTATAATTGTGACAAGCTGTTACTGTGCTTATCATTGTTTTATGATTGAAAAACTAGATTTTGTGAATGTTATGAATAACTGAGGGTGTGTCTCAGTATAATTAAAATAGGTATATTTGGATCCCAAAACACTCGGTAGGGTAGCACATAGTATTCGATTTCTTTTTCCTTATTGTAAGATTTTGTCCTGGTCTCTGACCAATGGTTGTATAGCGATAAAGATATTTTACCGATTTTATTTTTCCTTCCGCCAAATTGAATGGCTAAAACTAGTTTTCACAATGCGAAGTTCTTTGTTTACCTCTTTATTAATATGCTGAATATGCCATCCAGAACATGGGGTTTTGATAATAAACAAACAGTAATTAAGTTTCTTTCAATAGTGATATATTCAAGGAAGAATATACAACTTTTATTTATTCCATTGCACGTAATATACTGATTGAAAGTAAAAAGTACTTGTTAATTGTAAAAATGGATTATGCCATTGGGGATAATCCTGACTAAACCATTGTGATTGTGATTTTAATATTTAAAGAGTCACGGGCTGTTTAATAAGCTATTCCATGTTATACCAAAATGTATGTCAGCATTCGGCATTACATAAAGCATTACGGAAGTAAACACAGATTTTTTTTTATTATTGTAAATGCGAATATTCTTTGTTGCTTAGTTCATGTCATTCTATTTTAGCACATTTCTTGTACGCTATGGTCCTTGAAGTCATTTAATTTTCGAGGAAGTAAACGTATCAAATGTACATTACATTCACGTCTATTACGACTAATTTTAGGTATAATTGGCGTAATTAGCAGTTTCAAAACAAAGTACAATTCGTGTAACACTAACATCGAAATTCCAACGAAGCAAGTGAGAAAGTCTTGCAGACCTGTCTCACAAATCAGAAATTGTCAAGACCAAAAAACTATTCAAGTATCGATTTTAGAATTTATTTTTTATTTTCCCTCTTTTTCTACTTCTTTTCATTATTATAACGTGGCTGAAGATACTGCAAAAGATAACATGTGGACCACTGCATTGCCAGCTCGTCCCGGGTCTGATCTGCTCACTAGGATGCTGTTCAATGATAACTACGTAAAGGATATTATAGTCAAGGCCGTCATTGGGAAAGGTATCTGCGGAGATGCGCAGTATGTTGGCTCTGAAGAGAGGCACGATGGGAGGAGGAATGATGTCGTCTATTATCCTTTGGCAACACCTTCGGAAGAGCCTCGTTCTGTTATTATTGAAATCCAAATAAATGTCACGAAGGAGTTTGTTTGGTATGTGGTACATACACACTAGCATGAAACAGCCGTTAGACGAAGCTCAAAACTGTCGGGCGCGCATTTTTTCGATTTTTAAAAGTTATGTTATTCGATGAGTTTTAGTGATAAAAATAAACCAAAAATACGGATAGATAGGGTAGACGTCCGAATATCGGAACCTATTGTCGAAGCCCTGGTTACAAATTGATTGAAAGAGTAAAATTGAAAAAAACGGCTAAAAGTGCCATTGCTGGTAGTGATACATTGTTAAGATGACAAATATAACCGGGTTTACTCGATTTGAATATGATGTATTGAAGAGAGCGCGCAAAACCAATTATTGGTCGAGAAAGACGCGTTAAAAGATGACTGTTGTTAATACGGGTGGAATTTGAAAGCGAAGGTGGCGATATATTGTCGTGGGGAAAAAAATTAATTTTTTTAATCATTTTTGAACATTTTCATCATTCTTCTTTTTTTTTGAATCTTTTTTTTGTCTTTTTCTCTTTTTCTTTTAAATGTTTGCAATCAAAACAAAGCTAACCAAATATTTAAGATGTTCGAGAGGCAGAACAAGGGGATGAAAGATAAAAGAAAGGATAATACACGAGAATATACGCTTGTTGTCTGAAAGTATAATTTCAGATTATAAAGTCGTGATGTATGATTCAAAGTGAATATGCACCATGGACAAGTGGGCACGATTATGTGCATTGAAATAAAAACAAATATAGACGGGATATCTTGGTGTGAATAGATGAAGAACAGGGTAGAGGGTATGGATAAAAGAAGAGTTGGTTGGCTAACGACGGTTTTTTCTGTGGGAAGACCGACTGTATATGTTTGGTGTGTTGCCTGACAGTCGGTGTTGATGTCTTTACCATTAGATGGAGTAATCACAAACAGAGGATAAGCAACGACAAGGGGATGATGCGATTTGACTGGAATGAGAACCATGGAAGGTGCACTGACAGTAAGAGAGACACGATGTGATCACTAAATGAAAGTGTTGACAATAGTAGAACGACGTCAAGTACACTAGAGAGAATATACGTGTAGTAGCAGAAGTGCAGCAAAAAGGGAAGACAGTCAGGATACCATACCTTCAGAGTATAATCGCTTACATTTTGTGGTAATAAAAGTAACAATGCAGAGAGGGAATAGTATGGAAAGCCATAGAAATAAAGAAAAAATAACCTGTAAAAAAGAGAGCAGACTTATTTTGGTTTTTTGTTAATCTCCTTTTTGAAATTGTGGATGTGTGATTGGTGCGTTCTAGTGGATCTATATAATTTAGATGAAGATAAAAGTTGTCCGTTATTCTTTTCTTTTGTTTTTTTTTAGAACCAAGAATCATGGACTCAACCGATAATCAAAACCTTATCGATATTATTAATAAGGCGTTAGCCGTTAACCCTGGTCGTACTATCGTCGACGTCCATAATATCATGGACCAAACAGGTCTACAAATGGCACAAATTTGCCATTACATTGTTTACTTGGGTGCGAATACCAATGTTGGCTTCGAGCGCAGCCCAAAGCCGATGCCGGTAAAAGACACGATTGACCCCAATCATTTTTTGGTGGCCCGGAATTTCGTTCCGCGTACCTGAAGAGATCGGGATTAGATAGCCAAACGTCTACTACCAGTATTACGTCTGGAGAGGTTCCAGTATTGACTGGTAAAGAATTTGGTGTTGCTAATCTTGAAGAGGATCATCATGATCAAGGACAGGATGTGATTGATCTTGTTGATTCTGATAGGGAAGGTAGTACAGAATCAATGATTATCATTGAGGATAAGGATTAGACAGCGGTGGATGTAGAGGATGTGATAGATGCTGTTTTGGTGGAAGGAAGACGAGGAATGACCAGACGAATGGAAAAAAATAACTATGTCGGCTATTGGATAATATTATCGAATAGGGCTAACGAGTTCGACCAACTCACCCACCGTATTTGTACAGGTGAAGCATTTGAACAATTGTTAGAGTCAACAACCTTGAATGACTTTACTTTGGACTTGCGTGAGGTGAAAAGAACAATTAGTACCAGGTCTCGATTGGGGTATTCTTTTAAAAACATAACCTGTCTGTATCACTACTTGCTGTTTACGGAATACCATGTATTCAAGGTATCCGATGAATGGGAGTCCATGGAGATCATGGTGCTTAATGATGCTGATCCAGTAGGTTTTACGGATTGTAGAACGGGTGGTGAGCGTGTGTTTTGTGTCTTTCAGTTGTTGGGAATGGCAGGTTTTTGGCTGTAGAAGTAATGACCGCCAAAGCATACTCCAGATACCACCGACGTATTGAAGAACAATTGGAAATGTTGATGAAACCTCTGTTGGCGGTTCTCGTGCGTGGGTTATCTCTCCCTGCGGATAGCTGGATTTATCGATATATCCAACAAAAACTTGTTGTTTTAAACGAAATACTTCCGGAGATAGATATTGCGGGTAACATCAATGGAAAGATAGTTTTGCAGACCTGTAGTTCGATTTAAGACTCCTGTAGCTTTTTTTTATTTTATCTTTTATATTGGAAGACTTCCAAAACTGTTAATTCATCAAAATTAAACGGACTTAAAAATATTTTTTACGATGTGTAACCAAAAATTAACCTTAATTTTAAGACATTTTCTACTGCTTAAATGGAGAAAAGTTAATTGACACCCCCCACCCCCCTCAATTAACTTGAAAATTAACTTCAAAAAAAAATTAACTCAAAAAAAAAATCTTTTTTACATTTTCTTTTAAAACTTTGCATGCAATAGGCTTTAAGGATTATGAAAGTAAAATAAATGAATTGCGAAGAGTTTGTTTATAAAAAAATAATTTTATTGTGCTCTTTTACGCTTATTTGAAACGACTTTTTTACCCTTTTCAGAAGAAGTAGGAGATGGTTCCTAAAAAAATGAAAAAAAAGGCATTTTTTAGTAAATACAAGACCTAAAATATATCACAATTGTAGGCGAGAATTTGCGGGCAAGATTTTGAGTGTGCCAAGAGAAAACGCAGTTGGTGTAGATAGAGGTGATGTGGCAACTCAAAAAAAGCATGCCGTTATTACGAAGCATCGTCAGGCAGTAGAATGGGGAATGAGAGCCATACAAGGGTCATTTGGAAGGCTGCATGCAAAACTTCCTTCTGATAAGGAACAGCGTAGAGATATTTTGACCCTTGTATGGAGGTTACACAACTTCCGTGTAAGAACCGTTGGTGTAAACCAAATCCGAACGGTTTACTACGCTAATTGGAAGCAAAGGGAGCAAGAAATTATGAATTATTTGAATTAATAAAATTAATCTTAATTTTTGTGCGTTTTGGAAGGCATGCGAAATTAACCTCGGAAAATTGAATTTCCGTAGTTAATTTTAAGTTAATTTAATTTCTGTTTTGCGTTTTGCAAGTCATCCATTTACACATTCTTTGGTTAATAAAATTATGGATATTCTTATTGTTGATTTACTTTATTCGAGTGTTGTAAGCAATTGTTGCTACTCCTCGCCATAATCCCCTAGTCCGTCTCATACCAGATTCGCGTACTTGATTGTGATCATTCGGTAACTTTAATTAGCATACCCTAAAGTACCGGATGCGGACAAATAACGAGCCAGAGTTTCCGAAGTCCACCCTACATTTATTTGTCTACAATTGTAGACTACGCCTTGAAAATATAATTGTATGTCGTTCCTTGTTGTATAATATATTCTGTTAAGTTTCGCTTGTTTATTGGGGTTATATTTTGGTAACTCGAGTTTGTTATCCGTCTAAATCATAAAAATCATAGAATTCCCGTCCGTTTTCCGTCAAAATCCAATAAGTTTGAGTACTCTGGTCCGTTATCCCTCAAAATCCGTTGACTTTAGGGTACTCCGGTCCGTTATCTCTGAAAATCCGTTGACTTTAAGGTACTCCGGTCCGTTATTGTTGTTATGCGATAATTCAGAGAATTCTGGTCCATTCTCCCTACAGATCCGATACTTAAACGTTCCCTGATTACATTAAACTAATGACCAAAATACATTATAAGAAATTAGAAACCGTTCCGAAATGGTTCAAGAATTCTAAACTTATATGGGGATTATCTGAGCTAATTTCAGATATAAGGTAAGTGGCAAACCATATCAGAACATCCTTAAACGTGCGCTGAATTTCAAAAACGTATATACAGTGCCCTCAAAAGTGTCGTAACCGTTTAAGGTTTTCGTATTTTGTGAAATGACATCACATACTGATTCACAGGGAGACTTTCCAAACATTTTTATTTTTCAGTTTTTTGTTATTATTAAGTTATGGATCCGGTTAACAGCGCTTAATAGGAAATATATCAGATATTATCACTCTTACAAGATGTTAAACCCTTTTTTTCCTTAAGCTTTACTGAAACATTTTTCTTCAAAACATGTAACCCATTTTGAGTCTACCACATTTTTGTTTAGTCCAATGCTGCTCTAATGGTATCATTTCTTTCGAGACTGGTTCCAGTATTGGTGTATTTAACAGAGCTATAAACAAAACTAATCATGATAACTAGTTCAATTAGCGGGCCGGTGAGGAGTGGATCGAGGCAAGAGCAGAACAAAATAATTATTATGGGGAGGACAAAAGAAACAGACATTATATATCTATAAGTATTAATACATATAAAATGGATGAGAGTAGAAAACGTTTAATTGAAAGAAAAAAACATAGACAAGATCTTGAATACAGAAATATGAACAAATAAACCTGATTACAGTAACAGAGGAGTGTGTGGTGACCTAGCAAGGATATAGCCATATTAGAGCTAACAAAGGTTTATCCATGCTGATAACATTTGTGATATAAGCTTTACAATAAATGTCACAGTATGAACTATAACGATGTTACATCACAAGTCTTACTTAGTACGTCTGAGAAATGTTTAAAATTTAGTTTAAAGCAAAGAGAGTTAAGAAGACTTGACATATATTGGAACAAGACTAAATTAGTGACTATGTAATAATCGTATACATTTTTGGTTAATCTATGAAAACTTCAAGATAGCACTAGAGATATGAACACAGAAGACAGTCTTTTATATAACTACTGGTACATTTCATTTATTATTAAAAGACAATCTTATAATCAGTCTCAAACTATTCCGATAGTTTTTTTATAATTTTACTTTTCCTTAAAACACAACATTTACTAAGCAGACGTATTCAAGATAATTCCTCACTATAAAACCAAGAAAATAACAATATCAACAAATATTATTTTCCTGACACACTTTTAAGTATCCTACATTCTACAGATAGCTAAAAAAACTATCTCTTACACTGCTATCAAATTTATAGAAAAAAAAATTAATTTTATCCGAAGCTGAAAGCTATTAGAAAAAATGCATTACAAGAAAAGGATAAAAAAATATTTTTCAAAAGTCGAAAACAGTTTATAAAGATGTGGAAATATTTTTAATAGCTTAAGACTCGTCTTTGCTGAGTATTTAAGTTGTTAAAAAAAGTAAATCCTATAAAGCCGATCCGATACAAGACAATCAGATATATGAACGCAAAAGATAATGGTGTCAACAGGCAAAACGGCAGACAGCAACGGTAGCAGGCCCTGTTATAATAGTTTTACAATCATATCAATTAGCCGTCCACGAAATAATATTGACAGAGATCTATAATCGAACAGATAACCATAGTTGCTTGCAAACAAATGCCCAAGTTGAAGATTAAGTCTTATTTATAGCGTAAGTTTGAAGAAGTAGTATTTGTAAAAGTTTTAGCGGTAACTAGATCATTTCGAAATATGATATTTATGGACTAGCAATTTTAATAAAAGTCAGCTTTTAAAATAGTATAAATAGTCCCCATTATTTCGTAGTTAAAACTTCAGTCAAATAAAGTAACAAGGACTTATAATCGAACCTATAGTACCAATGTTTTTTTTTTGTATACTTTATATTTCTTTTCTCAAATCAGAAGTAATTGATTTGTAATAGTGCTCTTCACCAAATTAGCAACCTTGTGTAAATGACTGGCAGACACCATCAGTCTTCGCTTCAACTTGTTATGAGCACCGTAAACTCTGGATGTATTGATGGTGCCAAGATGAAGGTGCTTATTGATCCAAGGGTTGGCAAAATGTTCTTTCAACGGCACCCATGTTGACTAACGATACGCAAACAGTGCGAGGTATCTTGCGTTCAACCCATAATTATCTCTCAGGACACTCCCGTTTCGCTACAGTCTTTCTTCATTGAAACTGTTCATACAGCGATTCCATCTGACCATAAACTTATTGCAGCCATCATCTGTTAAAAAACATTTTTTGCATATGGCCAACAGGTTCTTGTTGATATGCCAACGGCAGATAAGAATTGTGCTGGATTCATAAATTGTCTCTATAGCACCTTTTAATGCCAAATTACGGTCAATAGCAATAATACTACAATCAAACTCCTCTGAATAGCACCAAAACAACTTCATACGTAATGTTGAAATCGCCCACTCATAACTGGCTCGGGTTTCGTGTTTTTAAAAAACACCGCACACAAAAAATGTCTTATTGTAGCAATCCATGCCAACAACGTGCAACAATAGCATACCAAATTTGTTGGTGTTTTAAGTGCAATCCATCAAAAGCACTTGAGGAAAACACCCAACCATTTCCGAGGAATGAGAGTGCGCAAAAAAAGGTTTTTGATGGTACCGCCTCATTCCAGTTGTACGCGTAAATAAATCCAGAGTCGGCTTTAGAGAACTGATTCAAGAGAGCTTGCAAAGGAGAGTTAAAATCAAAATACACTTCACGAATTTTCTGTCTGGCATTGTAAAGCGTAATAGGTCTGAAGTAATCACCAGAGAAGTTTTAGCGAAAGTAAATCAAGATATCTTGAGGTGAGCAATTAGCAATCGTCATATCCTTGATTACCTTCATGTGATTCTCTCCAATCTGGCATGCAGTGGAATGACCAGCGAGAGAATTAGCAGACTGATGATTATGTCCACTGTGGTTTAAGTGCAGGGTGAATTTTGCAGTACAAACGCGCTGTTATTTTCTCCCACTGGAACCGACCACCCACTTGAAAGGGCAATCGTTGCATCCTGTCTTAGAAAGTATTTTACCGGTGGAGTTACTGCTGTTTTTTCCATTGCGATCGCACTTGAATTCCCAAGACTTAAGGCGTTGATCGGGGTACAGTGCATCTATTTTACAATAAACAATTTTCGTTAAAACGGACATTTTCAGAACTTAAAAGTCCGATTTCTAAACTGCTGATTTTCATATTTTTTGACAGAGAAATCTAATTTATCGCGGGAAAATGTTTAACCGGGATATATCCTATGGATTTTGGAGGCCATAAAATATAGGTCGAGAACTAAATTCTGAGTGATTAGTTATAGTTACACAGACATCCGGGTACCCGAAAATTCGCCAAAATTCGGGCGCTTCCGAAAAAACAACTTTCGAGAGTCTGAGATTAAAATTGACGGAGTAATTATTGGTCAAAGTTTTAAAATTCGGTTATTAAATTATATTGCAGCGGCTAAACACGGTGCGTGGTCATCCGTAGATGTATTCGACGTGTAATTGAAGCGCGCATTTAATGCAATTTATTTGACGTGTCTGTGTTTAAAAATGATGGAGTAATCAGCTCCCAAAGTTTGGTATTATTGTTTCTTGCTAATAAACCACTCAGGGAACAGTTTATGTGGTCATCCGTATATGCAGTCTATGTCAAATTTTAACGCGCTTCGGATGCAGTTATTTTTAAACTTCTGACTTACGAATTGAGCAAGCAATTGGCTTTAAATACTTTGTTTTTTGGATTTGTTAATAATAAATCACTTACGGAACAATTTATGGGGTCATCCGCATATGCATTCTGTGTCTGGTTTTAGCGCGCTTCATGTGCATTTAATTTTAAATTTCTGAAATACGAATTGAGCCAGTAATCCGTCTTGAAAGTTTATCTATAGGATATGCTGATTATTAACCGCTTTGTTAATAGCTAATGAGGACATCAGTGTATGAACTTGACCTCCAACTTTAGCGCACATTAAATAAAACTAGAATTAAGATTCTGAATGGACAATCGAGGGACCAAACGTTCATCCAATTTGTAAAAGGTTTCTTGCAGTCATATTTTAACAATTATTTAAAATTCCAAATTACGTTTGTAGTAAAATTGAATCAATTGTAATGTTGTAGCTTAGCGGTTAAGTTGCTTGCTAAGGAAACAGTCGGTCAAGAGTTCAAATCTCGATCCGACTTCTTTTTGCCACCAAAATCTATAAACATTTAAAAGCAGTCCTAAGTTAGAAACGATTGTTTGTGGCTTATGCCGACATAAAAAACTTTTTATTCCTATATTAGAAAACTTTCTCCTTTTCTTCATGTAAGTTTTGTTATAATTTAGATCTCGGCATCGGTTACTAATGAAAATGATTCATTTTTTATACCGCTTTATTTTTCAACTGAACTTCATCTTTTAAATCAAAATTCTTTCAACTTTCAACCTTAATCATTTTTGTCATTCAGCAATTTCATAATGAGTTCTGCTATTATTGTTCCCAATTATGTTGAGGATGATTCGCGAGTTTCAACAAGCATTCGTGGTCGTAGACCTGGCCAAGTTGTTGCTGCCTATGGATCCAGAGAACCAATTAATGCTATAGCTACTCATATTGATAACCTTTCAGGCCGTACCGCTGAAACTGAAGAGTAAATACACAAATATTTTTTCGGCAGGTTTATGATGACTAATACTATCTTAAACAATAGATACGTCGGTGAAGATCTCGGCGTTTTTCAAGCGGAAGATGTGAAGTGTAACGTGGGTGGTTGTGAAAAAGACATGTACCGTAGCTGGAGAGAGTCACGCCAAAGATTTTACTACCATTGTGGAGGAAGCAGTGACACACATAAACCTAGAGTCCAGACATCCGCCAAAAACACTTTTTTTTACCGCCGAAAACTACCAATTGATGTCACTTACCGCGCTTTAACCAAGTACGTTCAACAAACATCAATGACAAACGTTTGTAAAGACTACAAAACCACCATGCCGACCCTGGGTAAAATCGGAAGGGACCTAAACATTTTGATGCTCAATGACTTTACGAAAAACAACCTTCCTTTTCGTTTGGGTTCTACACCAGGGTGCGACCACATCCAAATTGATGAGTCGAAATTTGGTAAACAAAAGCACCACCGGGGTCATCGTGTCGAAGGTGTATGGGTTTTTGGAATGGTTGAGGCTATCAAAGTCGGCGAGGAGATGAAAAAACACCGTGGCGTCTGGTATAAAAAACCAATCTTTTCTGCTGGTAGATTTTTTGTATGTACTGTTCCTAATCGTACGACGGCAACTCTAAAGCCAATCATCGAGGCACATTGCGTACGTGGTTCTGTAATTCGATCAGATGGTTGGAGAGGTTACACTTTTATGCATCCCGCTGATGTTCAAAACCCAGATGGCTCCTACCAGGATAACTCACATGCATACCAAGACGGTGATTACTTCTTCCGCCAACATCAGGTTGTCAATCATTCGGAGAACTTTGCTACGGAGGACCAGGTGAAGGGTAACCATACGGAAGGTCTTATCCACACAAATTTGATTGAAGGTATGTGGCTCGATGTCAAGAAGTCCATAGCACCACGCTACCGAAACGAAGAGTTTTGTGCTGATAAACTTCTGGAATATCTTTGGCGTAGAGAGAACAAAAAAGTCTTCGAAAGCCTCAACAGGGCCCTAAAAGAGGTGGAATTCTCTAACAGTCTCGATGATCTGGATAGCCTTGTCGTGATTACGCGTGGTCTTAATGGACTTTCTGAGGTTGAGCAAGCTCGTCACGATGAAAGACTGGAACGAAGACGTGCTGCTACCATTGAACGGAATAGAAATGCGGCTAATGCTACCACCAATGCCAGTAACGAATCCGAAACATCTGGTAGTGAAAGCGAAGAAGAAGCTAGCAGTTCTCCTACAGACAGTAGCTCTGAAGAGGACTCGGACTTTAGTGGCTCGGGTTTTCCTGAAGGTGGTCTGTCTTCTGAGGATTTAAATGAAAACCAACCCGCCCATCATAATAGCGGCCAATCGTCCTTTGTTGAATCCCCCATCAACACGAATGAGGTTCCGCGAGCAACAAGAGCAAGTGTAGCTCAATTGGAACCCCGTAATCGTTCTGTTTCTGGAGGCCAATCCTCATCTCGCCGTCCCGTCGGAAGACCCCCATCTGCCAATAAGAGGGTACGCGAAAGTAGTGGTGCCGGTCCTGGTCGTCCTTCCGGATCCCGTACACGTCGTAACACCGAACAGGAATCACCTGCTGCAGTGGTTAGACCATCTCCCAGACCAGTCGGTCGACCTCGTTCTGGACCCGTACGCCGAGTTATTGCAGAATCATCAACCCAACATATACGTCTTAACCCCAGACCTTCCAGAAAATAAATAAATTAAAACTAGACTTTAACATTGTATGTACTTATTCAGCAATACTTTCTTACCTAATGTGATATAAAGCATTTGCTTATTATACAATACACGTTTAAAAGTTGTATGTATAGTATATCTTACTTAACCAGGCCAATATTTACAAAACATTTGATATGGTACAAACCTATAAATTATACTGCCATATTTCAAGATAACCATAAAACCAAACAAAGTTCATTCTCATATAGTCAATGACCGTACAATAGTTTATAATGTTATTTCGTCATAACTTGCTCAAATTCACAAAAGAATTTCATCTTTACTTAACCTATAAAATAAGCATTAATAATATATTCACCAAACTCCACATTTTTGTCCCGTCATGTTTAAAATCACCGAACAGGTTTCTAGTTCAACGTCTTCTTAGAACTTATTCAATGACTTAATATTCTTTGGAAACATTGTCGGTTTCATTCGGAGGTTTTTACATTCAAATCATCTGCTAATTATAACGCTCTAATCATAGCTTATCGAACGTACTAAATGAAACTTTCTCTTTTACGCAGTAAATAAACGTGATTTGATCTTCATGTTAGATGCTTAAGTCACTTATGCAAAAGAACCAAACGTTGTATGTAAAACTATTGAATGATCCTCTAAATAATTCTAAATTTATTAAAGTCCCACTTAATGGTACTTCTTTTAAGTAATCGCATATTCTTTCCGTAAATCAAGATTTTAGGTAAATTACATTCGTGTTCATTGAACTCGTTTAATACTGTACATGACATTTTTTGTCGTTTTGACCTAACTTTGATTTTTGCCTTCTTTCGGATTTTTTTTAAAAAAGGTTTTAAACGTTTTATATTGAATGATACTGGCCTTCATATACCACGCATTTCTGATTTTGTCGAGCAAATTACACTATTATGTAAATGTATTGTATCTTCTTTAGTTCACAACTACAGAGTCCGGTCCTCACTGTTGAAGAACTTTTGTTGTAAACTTTATCTTTAATTTATTTCATTAACGCTATTGAAACTTGCCTGTTACAATAATGTAGTACGTATTTAGCAAGGCCTTCTATCCTTTTCTTTTTCATTATTTTTTTTAAACGTTTGAGTGTTTTATAAAAAAGCTACTCCCTCTACGTTGCATGCCCGTGAGAAACAATTTTCATTAAAATGTAATGATTCTAGCTTTGCCAAAAATAATAAAAACCAGATGTTTAAAATGATATTCGCAAAAAATGTACCTATACACATATGGGGAAAAAATAATAGTAATAAATCATAAAAGAAAAAAAATATTTTGAAGAAAAATCAAAATTCGGTAAGGGGTCGAACTTACGGCTTTATCTAAGCAAGCACTATGACTAAACCACTGAACCATAAGATCAAGCTTTGAATTGTAAACCTCAGATGTCTAGTTGACCCTTACGTAATAACCTAGCACGTGACTATCACGTGAACCTATTCCTATTGGCTAGAAGAGTACTCTTCAAAGTACAAGTACAAAATAAAGTATGAGATAAAAGATGAAGATTTATTAATTTTAATGTGGGGTTATTTATACTATCTAATTTGATTAATGTTTCATATGTGCGTAGTTGTTTTCATGCTAAATTAGTTTATAGCTTTGCTTGTTTGTTCTTATGACATATAGTTTTGTTTTCTTGTTTGGTCTTGCCTTCGTGACCTTTGGCTTAAACCTTCGTTTGGGTCTTGTGAGTTCCATTGCGTCATAATAGTTCTCGGTACCGGGCTCTTGTACTGGAACTATTTTATTGGCTGGATTGGTTCTGACAGAATTCGAAATATTGTAAACATAAATCTTACAGGTACATTATTGAAATTGACCATTTTCGTAAGCGTGATGATTCTCTGTCATACTTCAACAGTTATTACTTGGAAGGTTAATAACTTTAATGGTTGTTACACGTTTTTTTAAGTCTTTCTTCAACGGTTGAGATGTTAAATCAGAACCAGCCCAGATTACTTACTTTGAGAATTGATTACGGGTCTAAATATTGATTCAAAAATAGTAAATTAGTTATATCTACTGCACGCTAAAGTGAGACATCGATTTAATACGCCGAGAAACCCATAAGACACCAAGAAATTGTTTTGTTACCAACAAATCTAAAAGGAAAAGTATTTAAAGCCGATTACTGGCTCAACTCGTATTTCAGAATTTTAAATTTAAATGCATATGAAGCGCGTTAAAATCTGACATAAAATGCATATGCGGATGACCCCATAAATTGTTTCGTAAGTGATTTATTATTAACAAATCCAAAAAACAAAGTATTTAAAGCCGATTACGTGCTGAATTTGAAAGTCAGAAATTTAAAAATAACTGCATCCGAAGCGCATTAAAATTTGACATAGAATACATATGCGGATGACCTCATAAATTGTTCCGTAAGTGATTTATAATGAACAAATTCAAAACACAAAGTATTTAAAGCCAATTACTTGCTCAATTCGTAAGTCAGAAATTTAAAAATAACTGCATCCGAAGCGCATTAAAATTTGACATAGAATGCATATGCGGATGACCACATAAACTGTTCCCTGAGTGGTTTATTAGCAACAAACAATAATACCAAACTTTAGCAGCTGATTACTCCATCATTTTTAAACACAGAAACCTAAAATAAATTGCATTAAATGCGCGCTTAAATTACACGTCTAATACATCTACGGATGACCACACACCGTGTTTAGCCGCTGCAATATAATTTAATAACCGAATTTTAAAACTTTGACCAATAATTACTCCGTCAATTTTAATCTCAGACTCTCGAAAGTTGTTTTTTCGGAAGCGCTCGAATTTTGGCGAATTTTCGAGTACCCGGATGTTTGTGTAACTATAACTAATCACTCAGAATTTAGTTCTCGACCTATATTTATTTACGGCCCGGATGTTTGTGTAACTATAACTAATCACTCAGAATTTAGTTCTCGACCTATATTTATTTACGGCCTGGATTTTTATGAATTTTTGCACTGTAAAACACCTCCCGGACATCTTTGGGTCTCCCCACTGTAAATGGCCAATTTTGTTTTGCCATCTGTAAAACATTTTGTGTGAAAAAAAAAATCCGGATCTATTAGTTTGTGGAGAACTCTCTAATAAAGAATTTAATAGAGCCGGATTTGGATACCTGTTGAATTCATCGAGGAGATAGAGTTTTTTTTTTTTTTGAAAAATCGGAGCCAAAAATTGTTCATTGTAAAATAGATGCACTGTAGTAACGAGAACCGCCCAAAGAATTAAGGTAGCCGTTCTCCTTGCAATGATCGATCACATACTTTTCGAGAGTTTCGTTATAGCTAAACTCAAGTTGAGAAGGGGCAGAAGTAGACGAAACGTCGAAGGTTTCGTCCTCGAGATCTTCGTCGAGATCATTGTCGAGATCATTGTTAAGATCATCTACATCGTTGACGCTTTCAAAATTTCTTCTGATTCGAAAGGGAAGGGGCTCCTGAAAATCATTGTCAGAAAATTGGGAGGTGTTTTCGTTTGATAAAGACATTGAAACAATAAAAAGTTAAAACAAACGTAACGGGATTGGGATGAAAGTAGAAAGGTACAATTTATTCATGCTTTGACAGAGCAGTCCCGCGGAAATGTCAAAATATAAGTGAAATCAAATCCGCAGTTTCATAGGTCCAAAAAGACCAAAAGAATTCGAGGGGGTGAAAATAACAATTCCCTTATCAGGTCAGAGATTCTGTGTGTGGTGGTCTCCTATATTGTTGCTATATTAAATACATTCATATCTATGACATCAATACATTAACAATGATGAAGGAATCAATTACCCAATATAGATAGTTAGTACTATCATATCACAAGGTTACAAGAACACAGTGACTAAGGCTTACGAAAGTTATGGAAGGACAATGTGTCTAAGATGACAGTAATTCCAAGTGTAACATATCTACAAAATAAGCAGTTAAAGGTAACAGGATACACACTGGGAAAATGATAACAGCTTTAAAGATGCAGTAAAGATAGTAGCACAGCAGATAGTCATTTTTATAAAAATACTTGTTCATTATATTTCATAATAAAGACAATCTTATAAACAGTCTCATTTTACTTATATACTGCCTTATAATTTTACTTACCTACAAATACAACCCTGTGTTAAAAACAATCGGTTTTCAGGTTAGAGAATCTGGTACCTAGCTCAAGATCTTTCTCGTTGTCACTCACTCTCTCACTCTCTCACTCTCTGTACTATGAATGTCGTCAACAAAAAAATGTTTTATTTTTGTTTTAAAAAAACTGATTGTAGAAGTCCCACGGTGTTTCGACACCGATAGCTAGAACTGAAGGAACCCGTTGATTTTGGAATAACTCACGCAGGTTTAAACCTGCAAAAAAAATTATAGTCCGCAAGGACTGCTGCTCTTGCCCGTTGTAATTTGGATGGAGGGAACAAGTTCACCAACAACAAAGCGGTAAGACCTGCGTCCTCTACAATCGGAGCAATAAAGGCTCCAAGTTTCAACGCGAGTCGAAATGATTCTAACTCAAAATGTGTTGGGTTGGGTGAGTGAAGCACTACATTTTTGTTTGATAAAGATAAATAAGTTAAGATAATTTTGAAAACATCATTGAACAACTTACAAGCAGGTTGGCGCACGGTGAGCACCCCATCATTCATTAAAAAAAGGATCAAAGCCAGAAGAAGGTTTCGAACCTGTGATGCGGCTATGTTTCCTTTTAAGAAAATATACTCCCTTACGACCGTATTCAACTCCAACTGCCCTCTAGCAACACGAGCAAAGGGAATGGAATGGCATTTGTCGTGGTTGTGATTGCGTGTAAAATACCAACAGGAACACGTCGAGAACGGTCACCAACTAGAGAGAGATACAACATTACATAGATGCAGGTTGATTTTATCGAGTAACCATTACTATGGTAACAAACTTACCTTCATTCTGGCGGGCGAAAAAGTCAGGGGGAGGGGCCGCCACAAAGGGAGCCGCAGGAGAAGCCGCAGGGGAAGTCGCCCCAAAGAGCGCCGCAGAAGGAGCCGCAGACAAGGGCGCGGGAGTAGCCGCAGGAGGAGTCGTACCAGGAGCCACAGGAGAAGCCACAGGAGAAGCCGCAGACGAAGAAGCCATAGAAGCATGGGCGGCAAAAGAAGCAACGGCAGAGAACACCGGACGAAATAGGGAACGATAAAAGCAAGTACACTATCAGAAGAAGAAGAAGAAGAAGAAAGCAGAGAGAGAAAGAAAGGGACTGAGACAATAGAAGCAAATTAAATTAGCGACAAGCAATTTGATTTGGATGCACATACCATTTTTGGATTTAGATGTAAAAAATGAGAGCTATTGAATGGTACTAGTCTTGGGGTCTAGACATCGGTAACCATTAGGGGGTGCGAAACATTAAATTTTTTCAAAAATCGCGGGAATTTTATTTCGAAGTTCCGGGAATCTTTTTAGACTGGGAAAACTCGTCATAAGCCAAATACAGCTCTAGCTTCCCCTTTTCACATTAAACCATTTTTCATAAATATTATCTTTTATTTTCAACTTTTAAAATGCCCAAACAATTTACTATACAGCAAACTTTGAGCGAGATGAAGTCTTTGCTCAAGCACAATGTTATCATTGAAAATGAAGAAGAAGTGGAAGAGATGCACGAACTCTTGAGTGGATTAGAAACGAAACGTGTTCTCAACAGTGGACCTGGCATTCCTAAACTGGACCAGTATCGCTAGTATTTCCTCGAAGTTGAATGACGAAGAGTTTGTTAAGATTTGTAGAATAAATAAGGACTCGTTCTTAAAGGTCCTTCGCTTGATTGAAGGTCACGCAGTCTTCAAAAACCAGAGTTTCATTCCCCAAAGGGATGTTCACGTTCAACTTCCAGTAACCTAGAGACGATTAAGTCATGATGGAACTGGTAACATCATTGAGCAGATTGCAACTTTGTTTGGAATCAGCAAAGGCTCTGTCACTGACTACACCAACCGCTGTTTTAAGGCAATCACCGACAACCTTAAACACTTGATGAGCTGGCCTAACAAGGAACAAAGAGAAAGAGCAGCTGAAGCCATCAAAAGGCAGCACTTTTTTCGTAATTGTACTGGATACATCGATGGCACCCATTTTCGCCTTTCTCAAAAGCCTACCGACTGCCCCGAATCCTATTACAATAGAAAGGGGTTCTATTCTGTAAACTGTCAGGTTGTTTGTGATGAACGAAAAATCATTTTGGGGTTCCAATCAGGACAACAAGGATCGATGTGTGACGCCACATGTGTTGAGCATGCTAGCTTCATGATTAATACAGAAGCCAAGTATCTAACATGTGGCGATGCTGCAGGCCATGAGTACCTTCTCGGTGATTCCGTATATGCTCTTCATCCATTTGTGCTTACTCCATACAGAAGACCCCAGGTGGTAAGTTCGGTGAAGTGCGAAGACTTCAACAAGGTTCACTCTTCCGCCCGAGTTGCTGTTAAAAATACCATTGGTGTATTAAAGGAAAAATGGAGAATCTTGAAGAACATTCCGATTCAGATCAATTGTGAGGAGGATATCATCAGAATACATGAATTGGTACATGTATGCGGTCTTTTGCACAACTATTTGTTCTTGGAAAATGACAATTTTGACGGTGATTTCTATGAGGATGTTGACGTCGGGCAGTCGAGATTAGACCTGGTGTTGCTGGAGTTCTTTGACAACGTCAACAGTGTTTCCAGCCGTATATTGAGTACTTGGAGGAATTCCGTTGCTGCAGTAGTTTTAGTAGATTATGCAGTACATTTCGGATATGATAATGAATAAACCAACTGAGTTGATATAATGTGCGTTTGTGTTGAAAGGATTGGATTGCGTCCTTGCTCTCAAGGTTTCTGAACAATGAATGTAAATATATTTGTAAGATAAAAAAAACTTTATTTAAAAAGAAAAAATTATTAATCTACATCTGTTGAAGGATTACCGTCGTCGTGCTCATCTTCATCTTTATCAAGATTGTAAAGATACTCTTTATCATCATATACATCATCATCATCGACAGGATCCCTCAGAGATCTACGAAAACAGCCAGATGTCTGGTAATTTCCGTAAATGACGATGTATTGAAGGCGTTCGTTGTCGGACAAGTAACAAGCAATTGAGACATACCCAAATCGAACTCCCTCTGACTATTTTCCCTCAATACGTCGTCCCTTCTCAACTGAGCCTCGCGATACTCGGAAGAAAAGTCTCTTTTGATCCTCTTGTTTCTCATGGCGTGATCGGGATCAACACGGATGCGATCAGCCGTTCGCATTTCAGGCTGAACGGCACCAGCGTGACTAACACCTCCACGACCACGACCACGAGCAAGACCACGAGCACGACCACGAGCACCACCACGACCACCAACACCAGCACCGCACCAGCACCAGCACCAGCACCAGCACCAGCACCAGCACCAGCACCAGCACCAGCACCAGCACCAGCACCAGCACCAGCACCAGCACCAGCACCAGCAACACGAGCACCACCAGCAACACCACCAGCAACACCACCACCAGCACGAGTAGCACTACCACTGTTGACATTGCTGTCATGGTCCACAGCATGATACGATCCAGCGTCATCAAAATCTCCACCATCATCAAAAGAAAAGGAATCGAACCAATTATTCTCTGATGATGATTCAAATAATGGTGTGCGACTTGATGGCTGGGTATTAGATGGAGCCAACAGACCAGAAGAAGCAACATTGGTAGCTGGTACTTCTACAGATGACGGCTGCCAGACGAAGCTTCACCAAAAGCAGGACGAGGGAAAGAGACAGGTTCGTTTGAGAATGGCCCAACAGAAGAAAAACGGAAAGAGGGAGAACGCTCAGTAGACACAGGTGAAGCAGACAAAGACCTAGCAGCCAAAGGAGCACCAGAGGAAAGTGAAGCACCAGCAGCCAATGGAGCACCAGCAGCCAAAGGAGCACCAGCAGCCAAAGGAGCACCAGCAACCAAAGGAGAACCAGAAGCCAAAGGAACATCAGCAGCTAAAGGAGCACCAGAGGAAAGAGAAGCAGATATTCTTGTTGAAGATTCAGCTGAATCACTTCCAACTAACAATCGACTGACCTCTTCAATCGCCTCTTGTTGACCACCAAAATCTGCAAACGTTTGTGCCTCAATTGCAGCTAATGATGGCCTTACTCTGTTGGAGTATGTGTAGTCGGTACCACCATGAGCACCATGGCAAGCTACACAATAAGGAGTTATGATTGGTCTAGCACTATGCAGAGCAGCAAAACGAGAAAATCCAATACACAAATGTTCACACTTGATCTCGATGGAGGTCAGTCCACGTTTAATGTCATCTGTAGTCAAGCCAAAACCGGTAGAGTTCATATCTCTTTCTACATCGCGATACTTTGCGAGTTGGCGTTCAAAACGTTTTCCAACCGATTTGAAATTCCAGGAAGACGGAATTACTTCATCTGCCAGAAGTTGCTGAAACAACCTCTCAATGATATCTCTTTTTTTTATCTGACTACCAGCTGAAGGAGCGGACGACTTTTATCCACCAAGATATATCTTAAAAAGATCTTGATTACTCTCAAAGAAACCAATCATAGCCTTAATTTGACCAGGTGTAGTTTTGGTTCTATCAAGGCTTTTATCTGCGGAATCGTTGTTGGAAGGACCGCCACCAGTGTTTCTGTTTATTTGATCAGACATTTTAGATTATACGTTTTAGAGAAAGTTAAGAAGAAAAAAGGTAAGTTAAAAACTTAGAAAAACTTTATAATACAAACACAGATGCGATTTGATGCTTTTAGATTATCATAAAATAAATAAAATGTTACATTTTTACGTCATATTTCCTTCTCAACAACGAATAGAAAATGATTATTCTCTCCCGAGATTTCTGGGGAATACTTTTTCTTGCCCGCAAAATCTCGGGCACAAAAAATCGTTCGCGCAAAGTTTAGGGAATTTGGCTGGCGAAAAATTCCCGGGAATGTTTTTTAGAAATTACAGTGCATCTATTTAACAATGAACAATTTTTGGCTCCGATTTTTCAAAAAAAATAAAAACTCTATCTCCTCGATGAATTCAACAGGTATCCAAAATCCGGCTCTATTACATTCTTTATTAGAGAGTTCTCCACAAACTAATAGAGCCGGAATTTTTTTTTTCACACAAAATTTTTTACAGATGGCAAAACAAAATTTGCCATTTACAGTGGGAAGACCCAAAGATGTCCGGGGGTGTTTTACAGTGCAAAAATTCATAAAAATCCAACGGATATATCCCGGTTAAACATTTTCCCGCGATAAATTAGATTTCTCTGTCAAAAAATATGAAAATCACCAGTCTAAAAATCCGACTTTTAAGTTCTGAAAATGTCCGTTTTAACGAAAATTGTTCATTGTAAAATAGATGCACTGTAAGGAAATAATTTTTTTAATGTTTGGCACCCCCTATTGACATCAGGGCGGAAGTAGTGGCTGGTGTTCTTGGAGTAATGGTAACCACGGTTTCAGAACGCATTGTTTCTGGTGGCCTTGTTGTTTCTTAAGCCGAAATCCCCTCTCATTACCATCAGCATCTGGCGATGGATATCCAGACTGGCCTGCATCTACTTTGCAATGCGAGACTGCACCTTGTCCCGTTTCTCCATGGACTTCAACATCTGACCAAAAAACGTTGTCGAAAGAGCAAGATATTCAGTGAACATTCTACGCTCCGGCTCTCCATGCTCAAAACGACGTGCCTCGACCTCGTTCATAGAGGTGACCAGATGCTCGATCGTTCGGTTTACCGCTCTACCTTAACTGGCACCCCCACGAGTCTCACCCTCCCCAGCACCATCGTTTTTAACAGCTCTTACTCCTCTAGCACCGGCAACTTCACCACGATTATCTATCGTCTCTCCAGCAAGAGAGGTATAGACAGTGTGTGGGATTACGGTGGGCATTTCAATGGTGGGGTTCTCTATCGCATCATGGTAAACCCAGTTTTCAATCGGTGCCGTACCCGTTGCATTGAACCTATCATTGCGATGTCTGAAACCAGCACGAAGAGCAGAACAGTTAGACCACGATGCACTCAAAGGTCTTCTTCCCTTGGTGCTGTTGTTGGTGTTAAATGAGTGAAACAAGGCACGGTACAACGCATTTCGTTCGGCTAGCGTACGAGTGAACTCCAACCGGTTGTTCTAAACAGCATACAATTCAATCACAGCAAAGGCAATGGCCGAATTCCAGTTTGAGCGAGTGTAGCTCGTATCTGAAACTTAATAGTGGCAGCAGCATCCGTGGCATCAGAAGTGGCATTATCAGTGGCAGTAGCAGGTGCATCAGGAAAACGGGGCAGTAGCCGGAACGACGACAGGAACCTTTTCTTTTTCTGAAACAGTAGTAGCATACGACGGTTGGTACCATAGCCTGCACCATTAGCTGTCACTTAAATAAATTGGAAATTTATAGGGTTGTTGTTGTTGTTTTGATTGTTCATTTAAGAAACATTAATGTAAGGAAACAGTAATAAAAATTCTATTTTGTTTTTGGCATTTTAGTAGTCCATTTTAGGACCGTTCATTTCTGTGAGCTTCACATTCGATACCCATTAATTTTTTTAAGCAGTAAATTAATAATAAAAACTTATGGCGACATTATATTTCACAGAATTCAATTTAGAAAACAAATTGATAAGAAAATGTTTTTTAAAAAAACAAATAACAAAAACGGAGCTTGATTATATAAGTACATCTCCTATTTATGAACTCAATATATTTTGTTTGATGTGAGCAGCCTAAATCATAAAAATATGAAAATTTTGGTCCGTTGTCCGTCAAGATCCAATATGTTTGCGTACTCTGGTCCGTTATCCCTCAAAATTCGTTGATTTCAGGGTACTCCGGTCCGTTATCCCTGAAAATCCGTTGACTTTAGGGTACTCCGGTCCGTTATCCCTGAAAATCCGTTAACTGTAGGGTACTCCGGTCCGTTATCCCTACAGATCCGATACTCAAGGGTTCCCTGATTACATTAAACTAATGACCAAAATACATTGTAAGAAATTAGAAACGGTTCCGAAATGGTTCAAGCATTCTAAACTTGTATGGGGATTATCTGAGCTAATTTCACATCTAAGGTGAGTCGCAAATCATATCAGAACATCCTTAAACGTGCGCTGAATTTCAAAAACGTATAAACAGTGCCCTCCAAACTATCGTAACCGTTTAAGGTTTTCGTATTTTGTGTAATGACATCACATACTGATTCATAGGGAGGCTTTCCAAACATTTTTATTTTTCTGTTTTTTGTTATTATTAAGTTATGGATCCGGCTAACAGCGCTTCATAAGAAATATGTAAGCTATTATCACTATTATAAGATGTTAAACCCTTTTTTTTTCATAACCTTTACTGAAACATTTTTATTCTAAACATGTAACCCATTTTTGAGTCTACCACATTTTTCTTTAGTCCAATGCTGCTCCAATGGTGTCATTGCTTTCGAGTCTGGTTCTAGTATTGGTGTATTGAACAGAGCTATAAACAAAATAAATCAAGATAACCTGTTCAATTAGTAGGCCTATGAGGAGTGTATCGGGGCAAGAGCAGAACCGAATAATTATTAGGGTGAGGACAAAAGTAACAGACATTATATATCTATTAGTATTAATACATATATAAAAAGGAATGAAGGTAGAAAAAGGTTTATTCAGAGGAACAGGAAAAATAGATTAGATCTTGAATACAGAAATAAGAATAAATAAACAAGCTGTTATTTATCTTTATTGACAGATTGGGTAAACAAAGGTTGGGGGATCAGATTAACAAAGACAGACTATTAGTCATAGGCCGTTCCGAAGCAAAACTTTTTTTACGTTTTGGGAACAAAAGTATTTAGCTCAAAATAGTAATTTAAACTATAAAAAAACATTTTACCAGCCAAAATTTATGGGGGGTTGGACAATGTACAAATTAGTAATTTATACCCTCGTAGGTGGGGGCTATAAATTACAAAAAGTAAAACAAGTGTGACATGACTTAAAATAATATTTCTAATTACTAAACTAGCATGTTTTATATACTGGTTGTATATGGGCCACATTGCTATCCTCAGTATACTAAAATTATAAGCTAGTACTTATACTGGGGGGACCAAGCCTTTTTACAAATCGAGCGATTTGTTTTTGGAAATAAAGTTTGCTTGGGAACGGCCATATTTAGTTTGGGACATCTTTGGGGTAGCGGGAATAAACACAGATAATTTCGCAGATACATACAGAGGATAACATGAGCTGATATCATTAATGTTTTATAAGGAAGTTCAAAGGCAGAGGTACCAAAGAAACGCATGTTAAATGGTTTTACAAGCACAAGGGACAACGAGGATAAATTATTTGGAACACAGGCGTGAGACAGGATACAATAGTGATGTCTGACAGTGACATGTGTGACAGGAGGCAGAGAACAGAGAACAGGTGGAACAGGGGGAACAGGTGGAAAAGGAACAATGGGCTAGTTGGGTTTCAATAATGGTCTGAGACATTTTGCATGATTATATGTAACTGAAACATAGGCGGTTCATGACAGTCCTCTAACTATCAACCGGCGGGCTGACCGATCGTCTTTCAGTTTTCGTCCGGCAGGTTGACCGTTCCTAAATTATTTTTTGACCGGTCGGTTGACTGGTCGATGTTTAATTGCTAAAACGTGGCTGTAGTGTTCGTTATTTCAGAATATATGGAGCTTTTACGAAAACTGCAATAGCAGAAGGTCAATTATTGTGTCCAAGGCCTATTTGGATATTGAGCTGAAAATTTTATGGCTAGAAAAATACCCA